CGCACAATCGGCTGGATATAGCAGGTCGTGTGCCGTTTCGACGATTGTCGGCTGTTGTTCGATGGTGGCGGCGATTGATTGTCCTCTTAGGTAGTTGGGGTGCTTTAGTAATTTTTAAACTTTATTGTGGGGTTGTTTAGCTAAATTAACAAATATAGGCTGTTAAAAATAATAATAAATATTTTCAGAAAATGTATCAAATAACTATTCTGTCTTACAAACCTTTTTAAAAAATTATACCAAACAACTATTTCAACATTTTATCAAACACTGATATAGTTTTAAGATATTTTTAGAATCTGATCCTATTCAATTTAATCAAATTTATTCAACTTAAAGCACTTTTTAGAATAACATTTTTTAAATAACCTACCAAAAAGACCCTAATATATTGAAATGTTTATGGAAAATTAAGAGTTGTTTTTCCTAGTCTTATTCCCATTTTCGTAACTCTACAAAAAGAAAAAGGAAATCTCCAACACTGTCATACCATCATAACTGTCAGAGAGACCTCTTGTTTGAAACTAATGACCTCCAATAACGGAACTTGTTGAAGCAATCATAACTGTCAGAGAGAGCCTCTTGTTTGTTGGAGAGAAAGGAATAAAAACAAATAATATAGGCATTATGTATTTATCAAAGTTAATTCAGCAAAAGAGAGAGTGTTTTAACTTGAGAGAGTGTTTTAACTTTAGGGTATATGTTTATCATTTAAAAAAACTGTCAGAACCGTTAGAAAATAAACTCCCAAGCACGGATTGGGTGTTTTAAAAACCGCTACTAAAAACCCCTCAAAAACGCTACGATGGTTTACCCTCATAACCGCTACCATGAAACTCCCAAGCAGACCCTTAAAGTCACCAAAAGTTTCATTTTAAATATTTTTGGTGACGTTTGGAGTTACTTTTGTATAATTTAAGGCTCTGTTTGTTACCCTATACCACCATCGCTGCCAACAAACATCGCTGGTCACTGCCGTTGTTGTCAGTCGACATGGCTAGAACGGCTCACGATCGAACGGATCTGGTGTTGATGACCAGATTCTTGCCAAGATCTAGTTGTTAACGACATATCATTTGGCTATCTGGCCATCAACGCCAAATCTGTGATCGTAGTCTAACTATTTTGGCTAGATCCAAGTTGGATCTTGCGAAAAGGCCATATCGGCGTAGGACTGGTTGGATCTAGCCGATTGGGAAGGATCCTTAAAATCCAAAATGGGTAGAACAATTAGTATTAAATAATTTCTTTATTTTTTAAAAATCTTTAAATGGTCCATAAAGCTTATTTTAATTTCTCAAAGTTTGTTTCCTTTAATCTTATTTTATTATAATTTTACCCACTAATATCCAACGTTTTAGCTTAAACAGTTTGATTTAAAATTTAAATAGGATTCCTGTTTTTTGTATTCTGACTTACTGACTTGTACTTCCTTTTCAAATAAAAGTCTTTTCATTGACCTAAATAATCTAATTTCGTGGAAAACTCCACCGGCATCATTTTAAGAATTTTATTTTTATTTTTTATTTTAGGTGAATGATGTATTACTTAGAATATTATATTAATGGAAAGTTAAATTATCATTTAGAGAAATGTGTTTGGTTGAATATAATAAATTAGTAGGTATGTTATTTAATTTATTAAATTATCCTTTTTTTTTAAATATTAATATAATATCATTTTTGAATAGTTTCTTTGGCCCCATATGTTTGAGATATTGCTAAAATATCGTTAAAAAAAAAAAAGTTTAAGACTTAACAAAAAAATGCCACTAACCCCAAGCCATTGTTGGCCACCTGCCACCATTGTTGGCGACGACAATAGTGGCTGTAACTGCCCAAGATCGGTTAGATCTAGTCGACTGTGTGTCAATTTGACCAAAAATGGTCTTCTTGTTAACGGCTAGAGATTTGGTTGTCGTTGACGGTTAGAATTCGTAGATCTGGTTGTTTTCGGTTATAGATCTAGTAAAGTGCCAGATTGGGCACACAATCGGCTAGATCCAGTTGACTGGTGGTTGTCGATTGTGGCCAAATCAGGGCACCATCCTTGGGTAATTTTATTAAAGTCTAGGGGTATTTATGTCCTAAAAAATGTGTATATAAAGATAAAATAGTCTATGAATATATTTGTAACTTATTTTTAAAATAAGGGTATCATTGTCTAAGATTTGTGATAATTATGAGTAAAATTATAACAAAAATAATATTGTCAAGTAATCTTAAAATACTTAAGAAAATAGAGATAATCAGATTATTTTTTATATAATTAATAGTAATTACTATTGGTTTTAGAAGATTATAGGAATCTTATATTACTTGACAACTAAATATATTAATCAAGTAAGAACATCTTCAAAGAACTCTTTATATGATTTAAATTCTTTATTATAAAGAGTTTATCCTTAAAAATAAGAGTTCAATAGACTTTTTAGTCTTTAAATATAAATTAAAGAGTGAGGTTGTAGAGAGTTAAATTTCACTATCTATTATAATTTTAAATAATAAATTACAAGTTTCTATGCATTTTATTTATTATTTATGTCTCCTATTAAATTTCTTTATTGAAAAAACATATTCTCTCTTCTAAAATTTAAAGAGTTTATTGGATTTGAATAAAAATTTTGTTCTTTATATTTAAAAATTAATGAAGATGTTCTTTATTTATATGAAACATTGGAGATGTTCTAATATAAGATAACATTACCTCAGTAATGGGAGATTACCCCTGACCAAACACACCCTTAGGGCCTGCTTGGGAGTTTTTTTTTTTCACTGGTTTTGGGGGGTTTTTAATTAGACTGGTTTTGAGGTGTTTAAAAACCATTACTTGCCAGATTTTTAATGGGCTGGTTTTGACTGGTTTAAAAATCCCTCAAAACCAGTGTAGTATATTTTTGAGGGGTTTATAAAACACCCCAAATCAGGGTGTTTTGACTGGTTTAAAATTTTTATCCCAAAAAAACCCATTTCCGCTGATAATCTCTTTGCTGTACACAAAAAGGTTGCTGCCCCAATGTTCTATGGTTGCCATCCAATCGTCCAAAAAGTTCTATGGTCCCCCTCACCATGGTTGCCAAAGTTCTATGGTTGCCATCCAATCGTCCAAAAAGGTTGCCCCCTTTACCATAATATTTCCCTTACATTCCACCTTCAAGTTTTACCAGCTTGGTTATCTTCTGTTGTAGTTTTTCATTTGTTGTAAAACTTGAAGGTCAAACAGTCTTAACTGATTTGCTTAGAAGAGTAAGGCATTCTTGCAGTTCTTACTCTTTTAAGAGTGGTGTCTCAAACCCTCTTACCGTATTTTTCATTCTTGCAGAATTAATTTGTCTTAATACATTCAAGCGTTAATTCTTTCTTGGTCATTTCTTCTCACATTATTCTCAAAGTATTCCATATATATACATATATGTTTACGTGATGATATTAAAAAGCTTTGGCTCGTCCAGTATGCAAAGGGGGCATCTAAAACAATAAACTAATTATATATATGAATGGTAGCTCACGAGCTGCTCATACATGTTTGCCTCAAATATGTACAGCTACTACCAGACATAATTTCAAGCACCATAATCCCGCCCCTCAGTTTACCATGGACCAGTCTGTGTCCGTCTCAAGCACCACTTCTTTGCTCCCTGTTGTGCATTCATCATCTCCAACACCTGTCATACCATCATAACTGTCAGAGAGACCTCTTGTTTGAAACTAATGACCTCCAATAACGGAACTTGTTGAAGCAATCATAACTGTCAGAGAGAGCCTCTTGTTTGATTGGAGAGAAAGGAAATAAAAACAAATAATGTAGGCATTATCTGTATTTATCAAAGTTAATTCAGCAAAAGAGAGAGTGTTTTAACTTTAGAGAGTGTTTTAACTTTATGGGTATATATGTTTATCATTTAAAAAAACTGTCAGAACCGTTAGAAAATAAACTCCCAAGCACGGATTGGGTGTTTTAAAAACCGCTACTAAAAACCCCTCAAAACCGCTACGATGGTTTACCCTCATAACCGCTACCATGAAACTCCCAAGCAGACCCTTAAAGTCACCAAAAGTTTCATTTTAAATATTTTTGGTGACGTTTGGAGTTACTTTTGTATAATTTAAGGCTCTGTTTGTTACCCTATACCACCATCGCCTGCCAACAACCATCGCTGGTCACTGCCGTTGTTGTCAGTCGACATGGCTAGAACGGCTCACGATCGACCGGATCTGGCTGTTGATGACCAGATTCTTGCCAAGATCTAGTTGTTAACGACTATATCTATTTGGCTATCTGGCCATCAACGCCAAATCTGTGATCGTAGTCTAACTATTTTTGGCTAGATCCAAGTTGGATCTTGTCGAAAATGGCCATATCGGCGTAGGACTGGTTGGATCTAGCCGATCGTGTGCCATTTCGACGACTGTCAACTGTTGTTCGGTGGTGATGGCCGACGGTCAATTGTCCTCTTAGGTGGTTGGGGTGTTTTGGTAATTTTTAAATTTTTATTGTGAGGTTGTTTAGCTAAATTAACAAATGTAGGAGGTTAAAAAAATAATAAATATTTTCAAAAAATGTATCAAATAACTATTCTGTTTTACAAACCTTTTTAAAAAAATATAACAAACAACTATTTCAATATTTTATTAAATTCTGAAATAATTTTAAGATATTTTTAGAATATGATTCTATTCGATTTAATCCAATTTTAATTCAACTTAAAACACTTTTCAGAATAACATTTTTTTAACTAATCTACCAAAAAGACCCTAATATATTGAAATGTTTATGGAAAATTAAGAGTTGTTTTTCCTAGTCTTATTCCCATTTTCGTAACTCTACAAAAAGAAAAAGTAAAATCATAATTCAAAACCTTAAAAAATCCACGTCAGCAGTTGAACCCACCAAATCATGTGTTTCATCCAATGAAATTGCTCAATTAACAGAACCCTATTACTGTTCAACAAAATATTAAAACCCACAAACAAAAACAAAAAACAAATAATAAAAAACAAAAACAAAATAAAAATAATAAAAACGAGCTGCAACAAAAACGCCGATACAAAAAAAAATGCATTCATTTTGGTACAGAGCCAACGCTCTGTTAACGTTCGCCGTCACGATTCTTGCCTTATTGTGCGCCACCGCTTCTATTTCTGACAACCTTAACGCTCCTTCTCCGACTGCTGAAATCCAGGTCAACTTACGAGCGTCTTTTATTCGATTCGTTTCATTTTTTTCAGATCCATCTTTGATTTGTGTTAGAATTAAGAGATCCCATGACTGATTTTGTTTCTGGGTTTGTGTATTTTGTGATTGTAGGTATTGAATATTAATTGGTTTCAGAAGCAGACGCATGGAAACGATGAGGTAATTTTTCAATTTTTTTTTGATTTTTAGTATTGATTGTTTGTAATTTGTATAAGCTTTGTTAGATTTATGGGGTTTTGATTCTGAATTATGTGTATGATTAAGTTATTAGTTTGATAAGTAGAAGCTTTGATTGATGAGAGGAATGTTGATAATTGTACATCATTATTTAGTTTATACTACTTTAATGAGTGAGAGTTATAGTTTAATACATGATAAGGTGCGGCTTTGGTGATAGTGAGAATTCTTGTTACAGTAAGATGATCATTCAGTTGGCATCCGGATCATTTGGAATTTCATTGTTGATGACACCCTTTTCCGGTAGGGATAGCAATAAGTATATTGCTAGAGGAGATTGTAAACCTAGACCCGCCTTGGTACGGGTTCGATTCCCAGTCATTGTGCAATGCCTAAATGCTATGTGTATTGTGGGGTCATTGTAATGTCTAGGGTTTGCCTATCTGCCCTACCCTGGCTAAAAACATAACCAGTTGATTTAGGAGTTTTTCAGAGGATACGATGAGGGGACTTCCCTTGCCATCTGAAAGAAGAAAATCAAACTTTGGAGATTAACAATGATCATTATTTTCTAAATGAACCAGAAAGTTCTTTTTATGGTTTTCATAATTCACATTATAGGAATAATGGATTGAAAGGGACAGGCCTGATTATTACATGCATAGCTCTTCTTCTATGGATGTGTTGTGTTATAAGCACACATGATTATGTCATGTGTCTTCTAGCTTTTGATTCTAAATTTACTCTAAATAAACTTTTTTCTTGTATGTAGGTCAGCCTGACACTGAATATAACCGCCGATTTGCAATCGCTGTTTACATGGAACACCAAACAGGTTGATTTTCCAAGATGTCTTTATCTCTTTTCTTGTAGAGGCTTTTATAGTTATTTGCTGATTGAAAGTGCTTTTCCAAGGTATTTTTAGTGGTAGGTTGATACATAAGAGGTTTCCTGTGAGTAGACATTGCGAAAATTTAATATGCTCATCGCTGACATGTAAACATGTAAATTAGACCCCATAGGATTATATCTACTGGTCAAATAATTTTCTTTTTTATAATCTTTTAGCAGTTTATTAATCATTTTAATTTTTTCCTGTTTCAAATCCTATTTACTAATTCAATGAGGATGCCCAAATATGATAGGCTTATTTGGCCAGTTCCTCTTTTACAATTATTGTGTGTAAACCCAAAGCTGATTTGAGATTTGATCATTGCCTTACTACTCATTGCAGCTTTTTATTTTCGTCGCAGCTGAATACAAAACCCCAAAGAATGCACTAAACCAGGTAATCTCAAGGAATGCGGGTGCATATATTTTCTGAAGTACAGTTGTTTTCTATTTTTGTGATTATTCTAGTATTGTGTTATCCGTTCTAGATTATGAACTTATGAGGTAATTATGAGGCTATAATGATTTGCCTTTGCATACTTCCTGCTCATAAACACCCGCTCTGTGCCAATATTATATTGCATGAGAATTTTAGAAGTACTTATCAGATCTCAGGTTTATCTGCTTGAAACAATGCTCTTAACTTGATTGACTTTGAATGTTGTAGCACAGGTGTCACTTTGGGATGATATAATACCTACCAAAGAGTCTGCCAAGTTTTCCATTCACACCTCTAACAAGTACCGTTTTGTTTACTAATTAGCCCCTCAGTTTACCATGGACCAGTCTGTGTCCGTCTCAAGCACCACTTCTTTGCTCCCTGTTGTGCATTCATCATCTCCAACACCTGTCATACCATCATAACTGTCAGAGAGACCTCTTGTTTGAAACTAATGACCTCCAATAACGGAACTTGTTGAAGCAATCATAACTGTCAGAGAGAGCCTCTTGTTTGATTGGAGAGAAAGGAAATAAAAACAAATAATATAGGCATTATCTGTATTTATCAAAGTTAATTCAGCAAAAGAGAGAGTGTTTTAACTTGAGAGAGTGTTTTAACTTTATGGGTATATATGTTTATCATTTAAAAAAACTGTCAGAACCGTTAGAAAATAAACTCCCAAGCACGGATTGGGTGTTTTAAAAACCGCTACTAAAAACCCCTCAAAACCGCTACGATGGTTTACCCTCATAACCGCTACCATGAAACTCCCAAGCAGACCCTTAAAGTCACCAAAAGTTTCATTTTAAATATTTTTGGTGACGTTTGGAGTTACTTTTGTATAATTTAAGGCTCTGTTTGTTACCCTATACCACCATCGCCTGCCAACAACCATCGCTGGTCACTGCCGTTGTTGTCAGTCGACATGGCTAGAACGGCTCACGATCGACCGGATCTGGCTGTTGATGACCAGATTCTTGCCAAGATCTAGTTGTTAACGACTATATCTATTTGGCTATCTGGCCATCAACGCCAAATCTGTGATCGTAGTCTAACTATTTTTGGCTAGATCCAAGTTGGATCTTGTCGAAAATGGCCATATCGGCGTAGGACTGGTTGGATCTAGCCGATCGTGTGCCATTTCGACGACTGTCAACTGTTGTTCGGTGGTGATGGCCGACGGTCAATTGTCCTCTTAGGTGGTTGGGGTGTTTTGGTAATTTTTAAATTTTTATTGTGAGGTTGTTTAGCTAAATTAACAAATGTAGGAGGTTAAAAAAATAATAAATATTTTCAAAAAATGTATCAAATAACTATTCTGTTTTACAAACCTTTTTAAAAAAATATAACAAACAACTATTTCAATATTTTATTAAATTCTGAAATAATTTTAAGATATTTTTAGAATATGATTCTATTCGATTTAATCCAATTTTAATTCAACTTAAAACACTTTTCAGAATAACATTTTTTTAACTAATCTACCAAAAAGACCCTAATATATTGAAATGTTTATGGAAAATTAAGAGTTGTTTTTCCTAGTCTTATTCCCATTTTCGTAACTCTACAAAAAGAAAAAGTAAAATCATAATTCAAAACCTTAAAAAATCCACGTCAGCAGTTGAACCCACCAAATCATGTGTTTCATCCAATGAAATTGCTCAATTAACAGAACCCTATTTACTGTTCAACAAAATATTAAAACCCACAAACAAAAACAAAAAACAAATAATAACAACAAAAACAAAATAAAAATAATAAAAACGAGCTGCAACAAAAACGCCGATACAAAAAAAAATGCATTCATTTTGGTACAGAGCCAACGCTCTGTTAACGTTCGCCGTCACGATTCTTGCCTTATTGTCGCCACCGCTTCTATTTCGACAACCTTACGCTCCTTCTCCGACTGCTGAAATCCAGGTCAACTTACGAGCGTCTTTATTCGATTCGTTTCATTTTTTTCAGATCCATCTTTGATTTGTGTTAGAATTAAGAATCCCTGACTGATTTTGTTTCTGGGTTTGTGTATTTTGTGATTGTAGGTATTGAATATTAATTGGTTTCAGAAGCAGACGCATGGAAACGATGAGGTAATTTTTCAATTTTTTTTGATTTTTAGTATTGATGTTTGTAATTTGTATAAGCTTTGTTAGATTTATGGGGTTTTGATTCTGAATTATGTGTATGATTAAGTTATTAGTTTGATAAGTAGAAGCTTTGATTGATGAGAGGAATGTTGATAATGTACATCATTATTTAGTTTATACTACTTTAATGAGTGGAGAGTTTAGTTTAATACATGATAGGTGCGGCTTTGGTGAAGTGAGAATTCTTGTTACAGTAAGATGATCATTCAGTTGGCATCCGATCATTTGGAATTTCATTGTTGATGACACCTTTTTTCGGTAGGGATGGTAAAAGTATATTGCTAGAGGGGATGTAAACCTAGACCCCCTTGGTACGGGTTCGATTCCCAGTCATTTGTTGCCTAAATGCTGTGTATTGTGGGGTCATTATAATGTCTAGGGTTTGCCTCTCTGCCCTACCCTGGCTAAAAACATAAGCAGTTGATTTAGGAGTTGCAGAGGATACGATGAGGGGCTTCTCTCGTCATCTGAAAGAAGAAAATCAAACTTTGGAGATTACCAATGATCATTATTTTCTAAATGAACCAGAAAGTTCTTTTTATGGTTTCATATTCACATTATAGGAATAATGGATTGAAAGGGACAAGCCTGATTATTACATGCATAGCTCTTTCTACGGATGTGTTGTTTTATAAGCACACATGATTATGTCATTTATCTTCTAGCTCTTGATTCTAAATTTACTCTAAATAAACTTTTTTCTTGTATGTAGGTCAGCCTGACACGAATATAACCGCGGATTTGCAATCGCTGTTTACATGGAACACCAAACAGGTTGATTTTCCAAGATGTCTTTATCTCTTTCTTGTAGAGGCTTTTATAGTTATTTGCTGATTGAAAGTGCTTTTCCAAGGTATTTTTAGTGGTAGGTTGATACATAAGAGGTTTCCTTGATAGACATTGCGAAAATTTAATATGCTCATCGCTGACATGTAAACATGTAAATTAGACCCCATAGGATATATCTACTGGTCAAATAATTTTTTTTTATAATCTTTAGCAGTTTATATATTATTTAATTTTTCCTGTTTCAAATCCTATTTACATATTCAATGAGGATGCCCAAATATGATAGGCTTATTTGCCAGTTCCTCTTTACAATTATGTGTGTAAACCCAAAGCTGATTTGAGATTGATCATTGCCTTACTACTCATTGCAGCTTTTTATTTTCGTAGCAGCTGAATACAAAACCCCAAAGAATGCACTAAACCAGGTAATCTCAAGGAATGCGGTGCATATATTTTCTGAAGTACAATTGTTTTCTATTTTTTTGATTATTTAATATTGTGTTATCCGTTCTAGATTATGAACTTATGAGGTAATTATGAGGCTATATGATTTGCCTTTGCATACTTCCTGCTCATAAACACCCCTCTGTCCAATATTATTTGCATGCGAATTTTAGAAGTACTTATCAGATCTCAGGTTTATCTGTTGAACAATGCTCTTACTTGATTGACTTTGAATGTTGTCGCACAGGTGTCACTTTGGGATGATATAATACCTACCAAAGAGTCTGCCAAGTTTTCCATTCACACCTCTAACAAGTACCGTTTTGTTGATCAGGTATGCCATCATAATGAATTTGTTTATTATTCTGTCTACCGATATTCATAAGTGAACTTAGGTGTTTTCTTTACCAAATTGAATTTGATTCTCATATTTCCCTTCCTTTTCCATGTAGGGACACAATCTCCGGGGTAAAGAATTCAACTTGACATTGCACTGGCAGTCATGCCAGACAGGCAAGATGTTTGTCGATAAAATAATCATGTCTGGATACCGCTTGCCAGAGGAATACAGATGAGAATATCTTGAGTGTATGATCTTCTTGTAACTTAGTCTTTCTGTTAAGGGGATATTAAGGATCAGCTTAACTAGAAAACTAGGAACAGGGATGTTTCTTGTCCGATAAAGTGAGAAAATGAAGATTGTTTTGCTTTTAAACACTTTAAATCTTGTTGCAAAATGATGGATTATGTTTCTTTCCTTAGAAGAAATTTTTGGCCTCTCTTTTTACCAGTTTTGCTGCAATCCCCATTGAGTCTCTACTCACAAAAACTGAAACCATGAACATCATCTTTATAATTTTGTTTCCACTAAGATTAACTGAAGTATCTACCCAAGCTAAGGATCTTTGCAGACAGGACGAGTCGTGGCAAAGTCTAGAAGAAGGTGATGTGATCAAGTGCAATCTGCTAGGGAAGTGCCTCTCACTTCTCAAAATCAAATGGTATCAGAAAAATAAGAGGAGAGCTGCAGTGTGGAGCTAATTGATTTTGAGTTTTTGACAAGGATACAAGATCGATTCTACAACCTTTCTTCAAACAGGCTGATATGGAGGAAGACCAATGGAGATGCAGAGAATAGATGGAACAGTTTTGTAAGATAAAGAAAAGAGAGATGTCATATAGTCCCTTGACCAACAGAGTTTATTTCCTCTTTCTCCATAAAGCATGTAATGCTTCCTCTTCGGTATCATATAATAGCATGTACATCCCATGGACCCATACCCACTTTCTCTGGTGGGGTTCTGAATAGTTACGTTCTTACATGTTGTCTTACTTATTTCCTGTAGTGGGGCACTGGAGAACATAGTTTTTAGTTTACCTCTCAAGCGGAGCACTAAAGAGTAAAGACATTGTCAAAAGTTCCGAATTTGTTGGAAGTTATGGAATCTGGATGTAATTTCTCCCAAACATCACTACGTTTTTAAGAAATCCCCAAATTGCATCATTTATGAATTCAATTTCAGGAAATAAGATAGCCAAAGATTGGACTAACTGGAAGCCTCTGTGATTGTAGAAGGCACGTACACTTCTGGGAAGTTACATGTCGACTGGATCATTGGTATTTGTTGGTAAAATTCCAATTCTTTTCTAACGTTTATCTAGGAGATAAAAGAAAATTTCATCAAATCTGAACCTTATTCAAAAGATATTGACACTCAGAAAATAGTCAGCATCAAATTGACATCAGAAGTTAAGCAGGAAATTTACTTGGTCCGTTTTTCCCAGCTTAGTAAGCAATTTCCGAGACTATTGACCTTTTCCATCTCAGTTTCTCTTCCCTGAGTGGCTGAGAAACTTGGGTTCCTTCTAATTAATACGGGTACTATTGCTTTAATCAAAACTTAGATGGCTTATGATGAAAATTTATTCATCTAGAGGAGTTTTGATAAATTCTTTGAACCTTAAGGTCAGTCATTGGTGGTTAAAAGCAGAGTTGAACCCTTAAGGTCAGTCATTGATGGTTAAAAAGCAGAGTTGAACCCTTATAACTGATCAGACTAATAACAAAGGTTATTTCTTGATTGCTAACTGGAACTCAAGCTACACTGTGCTGTCATTTGCCGTGGAATACTGAACGCCGATCTGAAAACCAATATGGAATTTGTAATGAATTAATAAGTCTTCAGAGTAGAATAAGATGTGGGCATCAACAAGAACATGGTACTTCGTTTTAAAAATGATTTGCAGTGAAAAATGTACAACTTTATTAACATGAAGTTTAGATATTCTTAAAAAATGAAAAAAATAAAATAAAGTAATTGATCATGTCACAGATGAAGATATGGTTACTGATCTAGTGGGATCTTCTCCGCCCCATGGTACAGAATCTACAGAAGAACAGCGGGAGACATTTGGAAGTGACTCAATGATTGCACGGCATCCGGCATCCTCCACAACAAGGTGTAGTAGCATTGAAAAGACTGCTTCATTTGGTGAGAAATTCCTATTTCGCATTTTTTCAAGAAGTTGCATTGCTTTGTTAACATCATTTTCTTGAAGAAAGCCTTGAATGATGGTGTTGAATGTAATAGAGTTTGGTAAACATCCCTTTTCTTCCATTTGAAGAAGCAACTTATCAGCCTCCATTAACATCCCTTTCTTGCAGAGGCCATTGATCATTATGTTATATGTTACAACATCAGGAACCAAGCCTTTCTTTGACATTTCATCAAACTTCTGTCTTGCTTCGTCCAGTCTACCTACTCTACACATACCATCAATGAGTATACTGAAAATCTCGATAGTCGGTTCATATTTGTCACTCTCAAGGGAGTTAAACACATCCAATGCCTCCTTAATGTGGCCATTTTGACAGAGCCCATTCAGCGTGACTGCATATGTAGCTAATACTGGAGATATACCAGCAGTAGGCATCTCATTAAACAGCTTTTGTGCTGTTCTTATTCTCCCAGCCCGAAAAAGTCCAGCTATGAGTGTGTTGTAAGTCACTGTATTGGGGTTCACTCCCCTTATACGCATTTCTTGAAAGAGGTGAATTGCTTTATCAGTCTTCCAACTCTTGCTATAGCCATCCATCATGATGTTGTAGCTATATACATTGAGCTGAAAACCTCTATCCACCATCAACTCAAACAATTTTTCAGCATCATCGAGTCGATCAGCCAAACACAAACCACTTATGAGTGAATTATAAGTGAATAAGTTAGGATCCTTCCCTTGCTTAATCATCAAAACTAAAATGTCCGCAGCTTCTCCCACCTTTCCCTCTTTGCATAGACAATCTATCAAAACTGTGTATGTTACAACATCAGGTGAAATTCCTTCTCCCATCATTTGATCAAAAACCCTTTTGGCTTCACTCCGCATTCCCATTTGACAAAAACCATGAATCAATGAGTTATAAGTAACTAAGTCCGCAGAAATCCCTTGACCAACCATTTCATCAAAAAATTCAAAAGCCTCCTTCAATCGACGGAAACTACACAGCCCGTTAATCAATGAACTATAAACAATAACATCAGGGTTAATTCCTTTTCTTATCATTTCCAAGAATATTTTTATTGCCTCATCAACACACCCATTTTTGCAAAGACCATCAATAATCAAACTGTAAGTGATCACATTTGCTTCACAATTCATCCTCCCATGCAACTCAAGAGCAAAATCCATCTCACCAATCTTGCAAAGGCCATTAATAAGAAGCCCATATATGAAAACATCACCTTGAAACCCTGTTTCACTCATTTTATCAAACACCTTAACCGCATCAAAAACTTTACCCTTTAAACACAAACCCTTAAGCAAAGTGGTAACCGTAATCACATCAGGCTCAAAACCCCTCTTTAAAATACCACCGAACACACCAAACCCAAATTTTAATTTCCTCATGCGACTACAACAATGAATCAAAATGTTTAAAGTATACAAATCAGGCTTAATTTCTTTATAATTTAACTGTTTATACATAGAAAACACTAAAGGGTAACCCTTGCACTTGGAAACTGAAGTTAATAAGTGATTAAATGTATCGATTAAAGGAATCGATTTAGCTTCGATTAGTTGATGGAAGTATTGTTGTGCGTTTTGGAGGTTGATTATACCTAATTTACACTGGCTCTTCACGTGATACTCCACCTGGTTTGTACCCAAAAAAGGGTTAGTTTTTGTGTTCGTGTTCTTGGGTTTGGATTTTGGTGATGAGATTGGAAGTGGGTTTGTAAATAGAGAGGAGAGGGTGCGTGTACTTCTTTCGCCTTGAATTGCATTTTCTGAAACAGTGGCGCTCTTCTGTAACATGGTTGACTGACAATAGATTTGAGAGTTCCAGTTATCTTGGGAGCCCAAATAAAAGTGTTGTTTAACAACGTAAAGCATATAAAAAAATGCTATTTGTTGAAAACATATTTGTTCGATGAAATTAAGAAATCAGACGGCTGTTATAGAATTGAGAAACTTATTAAATGAAAAGTTGTTTAAAAGTCAATGGGTCTAATGTTGTTAATGGTCAAAATTGTGGAAAGGGTCATTCGTTGATGATCTTCAAGTGGTGTTAAAATCATTAAAATAAAAATCTAGGAAAAGATTTTCAGAATTCCTGAACATGATATAAAGATTGACCATTTTATACATAAGTATATGCTTGTTCTTCCCGCAGAAGTGTCATGCAAAATTCATATGACATCTCTAAGATGAAGCTTTCCAAGGTGGGACAGCTCTTCAGCCATACGGCACTGGCACTTTCTTCAAAGCACTGCAACGTGAGTCGTTGAAATCCTCCAGCCTTGACAATAGTGCTTCTCCTTCATAGGCCTCAAGAAGCTGAATATCCACCAGGTTTGGAAGAGCTTGAATAGCTTCAAGGGAACATCCGTCAATTTACACCACCTCAGGCTTAATTTACTCAGATTACTATGAGTATTCACCCATTGTTGTGTAACTCCTCAAAGGACCTTTCAAGTATAATCCTTTGAGAAGTGAGGGAGGAAAAGATAGAGAACTTAGATCGATTATTTCATTCTCTTGAGTTGAAGTTACGTCTAATGTCATGAGGTTTCTCATCTTTTCAACCGAAGAGCACAGACGTGGACCGTCTTCCTTTCTTAAGTTCGTAATTTTCAACTTCCTCAATTGGCTCAGCCTCTGTAGCTCTTTAAGGATGTCTCCACCTTGCTCTAAGTGTACAAAAGAAAGCTTTTGCAATTGCAAGAAATGCAACTGTCCTGTCCCTGCCTGGAGCGTAAATCCTTGCTTACTATGGAAGGGTATATATAATTATAAATAAGTATATAAAATAACCGTAGACCAACAGATGACGCAATTGTCGTAGCTCTAGGATTCAGGTGGGCAATTTAGAGACATGTTTGTGTTTCAGATCCAATATCTCAAGATATTGAAGCTTTTCAATTGAACTTGGAACACTCTTCACACTTGTTCCCATCAAACTTAGATACCTTACAGGGAAAAAACCCGTGACTTTTCTGGAAATTTCTCCAAAGGCAGACCCCGCATATGCAACACCCTGAGCTTGTTAAAGCCATGATTAAACATAGAAAACATATTTGAGTCTAATAGTGACTTCAACCCAAACATCAGCAAAGAACAGATCCGGGTCAGATTCCGGTTATTGTGTTTGTTTCCCCAGTTATTGTTGCAAGATTTTTGTGTCTGGACTTGGAAAGAATCATCTGACGCATAAGTTCATGGATGCGACATGTTTTAACGCTACAATCAACCCCTCTTTCAGCAACGTGGATCAGATTCCGGTTCAGCTCATTGAGGTAGTTTTGAGCAATCTCTTCAAGTGTCTTCTCTTCTTTTTCTACCACAAATCCTTCTGCTATCCACAGCCAGATCAATCTCTGATGTTCAATCAAATAGCCTTCTGGGAAGATGCCCATTTACAGGAAACAATATTGCAAGTAATTTGGTAGATTATTGAAGCTAACTAGAAAGAGAATTTTGTTCAATCTATGGAACTTGTCATTGCTTTCTAATTCAGAACCAAGGTTGNCTTATTCACTGCAATCAATATTATCTCGCCATAGGGAGGACTTTCTATATAAAATTCGATAATACTTATCAAGACAACAAGTGACTTGTTATTACCCTTATGAACCTACTTCCTAGGATCTCCAATCACATAGGTAGGGTTACCATCACTCTTGCCTTATGCTTTAGGCATAAGTCTCATCCCTCTCGACGTGTATCCCACTAACCTCCTACTTAGTGGTTTAGTCAGAGGATCGGCCAAATTTAACTCTAACTTCACAAAATCTAGGCTCACTACCCAATATTCTAGCAGCTGCTTTATAATGGTATGTCTTATCCGGATATGTCTGCTTTTCCCATTATAAATTTTGCTCTTTGCTCTCGCTATTGCGGCCTGACAATCACAATGGATTGATACTGAAACAGGAGGGTGAGTTTCAATGGGAAGATCTGTTAAGAAATTCCTTAACCACTCAGCCTCAGAACATGCCTTTTCTAAGGCGATAAGCTCAGACTCTATGGTAGACCGAGCTATGCAAGTTTGTTTGGAAGACTTCCAAGACACAACACCTCCACCAAGTGTAAAGATATAACCACTTGTGGATTTTATTTCATCTGAATCTGATATCCAGTTGGCATCGGAATATCCTTCTAATACAGGTGGTGTACTTCCAAACATTAGCCCATAATCAATGGTGCTCTTCAAATATCTAGCAACTCTGTCTAATGCTATCCAATGGCTCTTATCGGGATTATGAGTATACCTACTCAATATAGTGACAGCATGAGCAATATCAGGCCTTGTACTATTCATTAAGTACATAAGGCTACCAATGATTTGGGCATATCTATTTTGACTCACACTGTGTTGTGTATTTTTCTTGAGTTGAGTATTTCCATCATAAAGAGTTGAGACGGGTTTACTATCTAAATACCTAAATTTTCTTAAGAAATTTTCAGCATAGTGTTGTTGTGATAACTTAAGACCATCATTTATCTTATTGATTTTAATCCTAAGAATAACATTTGCCTCTCCCATATCTTTCATATCAAAATTTGAGGCAAGAAACTTTTTAGTCTTAATTATCACATCCATATTAGCACTAAATATTAACATGTCATCAACATAGAGACATATTATCACATAAGTGTTGTCTTCAAATGATTTAGAATATACACACTTATCTGAATCATTAATTGTATAACCATTTGAAACTAACACTTGGTCAAACTTCTCATGCCATTGTTTTGGTGCTTGTTTAAGTCCATAAAGAGACTTTACCAGTTTGCACACTTTATGCTCATTACCTGGGATAACACAATCCTCTGGTTGTTTCATATAAATTTCTTCATCCAGGTCTCCATTAAGAAAAGCTGTCTTCACATCCATTTGATGTATATGTAATTTGTAAATTGCAGCTAAAGCAATTAACACTCTAATTGATGCTATTCTTGTTACAGGAGCATAAGTGTCAAAATAATCTATATCTTTCTTTTGTGTATAACCTTTGGCAACCAATCTTGCCTTGTATTTATCAATTGATCCATCAGTCTTTAATTTCTTTTTAAATATCCATTTGCACCCTATTGGTTTAGTTCCT